ATACATTTCTTTATACATTTTTAACGACGTAATGACGTCATCCATACATTTCTTTATATATTTTAAAGGACGTAATGACATCATCCATACATTTCTTTATACATTTTTAACGACGTAATGAAGTAAAAAATACACTTCTTTATACGCGTTATTACTTTATCAATACATTTTTTCATTACCTTAGTTTCCAGTGGAAAAGTTCCATGCGAACCAGTCAACGAATACGTGCGCCTGCCATTAGTGGAACTACCGCCGACCCTCAGACCACAGTCAGCATCATCCAGGGCAAGTGACAGCACTGGCAATGTGAATGCTGAAAAGTCTGAAACGAAAAGTCCTTCTGCTAAGAGAGAGAAAGATAAAGGTAGCCCAAAGACACCTGAACCAACTGAAGGGGTTGAGGAAGAACAGAAGCCGCGGTAAGAATAAAACTAGGTCGTGATAATGTTAATAAAATAGCTTTTTCAAATAGACTTTTAGAGCTTATTATACGACTTGTGGTGAACAAAGTATAGAGCAGAAATGACTATTCAAAAGTATCCTGCTAAGAGTGTTTTAAAGTGAAACGCCCCTCGATTTATGCTTTACGCGATTTACACTATATTTTTCCTGTCCTGGATTTTTTCTAATTCTGTTTGCTTTTGTTTGAAAGATTCAATCTGACATAACACATATAAATTTCCTTGTTACTTATTGTTTTTTATATGAATCGGGCTCCCTGTGTTTCAAACCATAGTTTTGTATTGAATTGATTGATTGGTTCCTGTCTAGTATCCCATTGGTTCCTCGTCGCCCAAAGTCAAGTGAAGGAGGCACAGGCAAGGGTAGAGACAAGAGAACTGGTCAAAAGAAAGATAAGCAGTCTGATCCTGACAAACCCGAGACACCTGTTCCACCATCAGACCCTGACGAAAGGGTAAGCCTCATACACCTCTCTAGCTTGGACGTAATGTTTTCTCACTTCAGGCCACGTGTCTTTCCACGTATCATTTCTTTGTTTAACAGTTGCTCATGAAATGAAAAAAAAAATTATTTTAATTTTTTAAGGTCTATTTTTTTCCCAAGTTTTTTCTAAATATGTGAGTTAGCCATTCCCTGACTTAAATCAGACAATAAAGAAATGTAAAATTTATTAACGTTTTATTTTTGGTTTTATTGCAGCTTGTCTTTGATGCCTACATGCTTGCATTGACTGTCATCGAGGCACTTGTAAGTTACAAGTAGTTTGTTAGTCAGTAGTTTTAATCGTTAGCAATATTCTGAACTGTTCTTAAGAATACCGTCCAAGCTTAAGATGACGGCACGTGCTAATGAACAGACTACCCTTGGGAAGAAGAAAATTTGTGAGTGCGCTCGCCGTCAATCTTGAGCCTGCGTGTCGTCACTCTGCTAAGTCTGTTGCCATCACTAGCACTTGTTGCTGCTAAGAACTGATATCAATTAAACATTTGTCCCTTTACGTCCTTTATTTTCCTGTAAACCTTGTGTGAGGCCTGTTTATAATATGTATATTGATGGATAATTCATCTAGAAAATTGTGTCATCGTCATCATCATTTTAAATATGTCAACCTCTTATTTCATTTTCAAAATCAATATATCCTCATCGTGGTCGTCTTCCTATCTACCATAATCTTGAACCATATTTATCATCATCATCATCACCGTGTTCATCATCACCGTGTTCATCATCATCACTCTCCATCATCATCATCAACATATTGATCATCGTCATTTCCATCACCGTACTGATCACCATGATCATCGCCATTCATCATCATCATCATCATCACCATATTGATCATCATCATTTCCATCACCGTATTGATCACCATTCATCATCACCATTCATCATCATCATCATCATCACCATATTGATCATCATCATTTCCATCACCGTATTGATCACCATTCATCATCACCATATTGATCATCGCCGTTCTGATCACCACAATCATCATCTATATGTTCTTAATCACCATTCATCATCGTCATCACCATGTTCATCATCATCATCATCATCATCACTGTACTAATCACCATCATCGTCATCGTTACTGTGGTCATGAATAGTACCCCCATACCCTACAAGTCGTCTCACAAGTATCTTTTACTCAGGCTGCTCTGGATGTAGCAGATCAGGAAGCAGAAGCTCAAAGGCAACTCGAGTTAGACAGAGAAAAGGAGAAAGAGTTGATACAGAAGAAGGTCAAAGAGAGCAAAGGAAAGAAGGGACGTAAGAGTCCTGTCAAGTCGCCATCAAAAACCGAAACACCACCACCACGTTAGTATATTAAACTGAACATTAAAAAAAAATAAACCAATATTTCTACAGGAAAATCCAGTTTAGCAAGGCTAGTTAAAATGGAGAATTCTACCCAATCACCCGCAATACCTCGGTAAAACTCCATTTTGCAGATTTATTTTACTTTTTTTCAAGTTGGCTTTCCAAGGGACCTTTGGCAGAGTCGATTCCTTATCAAAGTGATAAATCAGCACGTGAGTGTGATGGAAAGGGCCTATTCAAAAAGCGAATAAAATAGGAAACTTAAACACCTCGTAAAAAAAGAGATTGCAGATTTATTTAACTTTTTTTTTCAAGTTGGCTTTCACTAATGGACGGTTTTATGATGACCTTATCTTATAAATGATGTCTTTTATTTCAGCTCCACCTGAAGAAACCGAGGGTGAATCTGAAGAAGACAAGTTAAAACAAAAAATCAAAGAAAGATCTCGTAAAGAGTTTCTAGCTAGCGTAGCTTCTGAAGGTAAGTCTGATTACTCTAGGATTAAAGATGGGATTTGAGATTCATCAAGAAATTTTTTCTCGGAAAAACAAATTCCGATTTCCCAAATAGTGTCCTGCGGTCGGTGCCCATTTTGTCGGAAGGGGAGGGGAGGGAGTGATATTTTTTTAGGTAAGTGGGATTGACTTCAGCGTAGACCTCTGTACCCTAACGTCTAGTCTCATGATCATATCTGGTAAATGATTTGCTGTTGAGAAGTTTTCAATAGTGATGATCGATAACCAATGTTGTTTTGTAGATAAGGGGCTTAAGTCAAGATTAGAGATGGTCAAAGTTCACACTATGGCTGTGTTGCAAGAGTTAAAGGTAACTGTCAATAGGCCATTTGGGAGTATTTAGCTGGGGGTTAACTAGAAAACTTTTGGTTAACTTAACCCTCAGGCTCAAACACTAATTCTAGTATCTTTTACTTGATGGCAAAATTTGGACTCTATTTAAAGAACGTTTGCTGGATTAAAAATGTCATACCCGAAAAATTTTTCAAAACGTTTCCCTCCTTTTATAACACTTAAATTTCGATTTTTAAGATACAAAGCAATTTAAAGTTTTTTTGCCATCCACCAGAGCCTTTTCCAAGGGACCTTGGGCTGAATTGATTCGTTATCAAAGTGATATATCGTGGCTATGTGATGGAAAGGGTCTATTCAATAGGCGGATAAAAGGGAAACTCAAACACCGCGTAAAAAAAGAGACTGTTTCTTTATTATTTACTTGTTGTATTGTCGTTATCAGTTTATCAATTCATTTCTTTTTTCTTTTTGATCATTTCCCTTATTCACTCAATTTTGATGCTTCAGGGCAAAGCAGAATCTATGTACAAGGATATGGAGGACTGGCTGGGTGAGAGGTTTCTGCAGGAAGTAGAAAGGTAGGTCTAGTAGAAGATCTTTTTCCCTTTATTTTTTTAAAGTGTTTGGGCAAAAATAGACATTTTCGGTTTAGGAATAATTTTCTCTCATTTCAGACCATGTTTCATTCCCTTGAGTATACTTTCTTTGTTTATCGGTGACGATTGGGAAGAAACACCATTTTCGGTTTGGAAACAATTTTCTCCCATTTCAGACCACGTTTCATTCCCTTGAATATACTTTCTTTGTCT